GGTGCTGTACGGGGAGCAGGGAAGGGCCCGCGGCCGCCCGCCCCCGATGCTCTGCCGGCGGAGGCCCAGCTCCCGCCGCCCCCGCGCTTTTTTGTTCCCCGAAGGCCCTATCTGTGCTGAGAAACGGGAACTTTCCTTTTCGGTTTGGGACACTTGTGCAAGTCCCGGGTATGAAGGGTGCCAGTGGAGCGAAACCAGGCTCTGCCACGCACAGTAACCTGGAGCTGCGGGAGTGTGGGTGTAGCCGTGCCCCCAAGTTCCAGCACAGGCTGGCCTCGGCTGGCAGAGTTGTGCTGCTCCGGGCATGGTGAGAGCGCTCAGTGCCACCGCAGCCACTTAAACTGGCCACACGTTTCCCCAAACTGGCCACTATCATGACAGTAATGGGCTGTTCATTGATACAACTTTAGAGTTTTCCTTATTCAGTTTCAATAAAACAAAATAATTTGTGTGTTTGTTACTTGTGAAGAGTGCCAGTTAATGATGCATTAACCTGTGTGGTTTATTTAATAGCTCTTTTGCCTGCAAAGGTAATTCTCGCTTATCTCTGTTTTTCAAAAGGGTAGTTTAATAACAGAATGAGTAAAGCATTTTAAATGTCAACACTAATCAGTGTTAAACAAGCTATAGTGGAATTTAAAAAAATGTATTTCAGTCTTATACCCAGGTCTATGTAGAAAGGCTGTTTATTTTCCTCTTCAGGAAAATACCCAACTTAATCCACACACCCACGTTGTTCCATAGTGTTATTGGAGCACTACTTAGAAAGATTTTGGCAGTCTCAGTGAGTTCATGCATGTAGCAGCCTGATGGGCCCTAAGTCAGTCATGCATAATGAATGATGATATCATAAAGACTGTGCTTACGGGAAACTATTGATGCTGGCTAATTTGGTTTTGTTGCATAAGCTCAGAAGGAACAATGGCATCAGGATTTAAATTAATTATATTAAAGTCTGCTTGAAAAAATAAGTGAGACAAGGAAGAGAAAGAAGGCCTCATTTAAGTTTTGGATGCCTGAGAAATTGCTGGAGAAACACGTATGAAAATGTTTGTTTGATTTTGATTGCTCCCACAGTATCTGGAATAGTGCCAAAACCTCAAAACACAAGAATTATTTCAGTTAATCTTCGTAGCATTTTACAGTGGGATGCACCTGGGTTTCACAACAGGAATATAAGTTACACTGTCCAATCTAAGAGGTAAGTCTGGGGAAGTTGTGCTTTCTTTAATTAGCATTTTACAGCTGTGCGATTGTGATTTGTTTTCCTTTTTAATAGGAAGATTAGCAGTTGTCCCTTTCTATTAACTTGTGAGAGGCTTGTCTTCTTGTATGAATAACAGGGCAGAGGCATTTGCTACACGTTTCACACCCGAGGCAGCTTTGTACGTACTGTTTTTGGAACCAGAAACACATGTTAATGTTGACTGTTGTATAAGTCTGTTTTTTTTCCCATCAGGTAGCTATTATCTGTAATACAAGAGACTTAGTTCTGCTGAACATTACAACCTTACCTAATTTTTCACTCCAGCAGCGTTTTGTGCTCTGCCACCAACGCAGTCAGCTTGCCTGTGCCCTTCCTGGAGATGCCCCATGAACTGTGGGCAGGTGGCTCATCCATTCAGTGCCTTAAACTTGGGACACATTTTCCATGTTCTCTTTTTGTTTTTGGTGGGTTGATGTAGCTTTGATTTGGTTTTGTCAGTGTCCTTCCATGTTGGCCTTTCCTGTTGGGAAAAGTGGTCTGTGCAGCTGTACCACGGGAGGTGGCCCCTTCCCCAGCCCAGTGGTGGGCTCCCTGCCTGCCTCCAGGTTCCT